AAAAATTTTAAAGACTAGAAGTTTTTACATATCACACGCAACATAAATTTCCCCTTGTTCTTCTTATGCCTTATAGTTTAATTACGCATTTTTCAAGTACATAATGGCAGCCGGTATATGTAATCATACAAAAATATTGAGAAGAGACAATAGAAAAACAAAGAAATAATCATAAAAGCATATAAAATTAATGAGTTCACCAACACTTATATTAATAATAATGATAATAACAATATGAAAGGTCTATGAAACAAAAGTGCTAACAGCATTTTGCTTCGCAACATTAGGAAAATTTTATTTTCTAATATAAATTTTATAGAAAGAAAATAAAACAAAGATTGCATACAATTTTTTTCTTTTTTTTGGTGGGGTCCTATTTTTTGGCATATTTTAATATTGTAGCTCCTTATTTCTCTGTACTGTACGAAAAATGTTTTTCATGCAGAGGTTATAGGCGTTACGTCTGATTTAATGTAACGTATTTCTTAACATTTCGCGAAAATAAATTTCTTTTAATTTTATTTCTTACGCTTCTATAATTTTTTTCTTTTATTTATTTAATTTTATTATAAATTAATTTTTTCGCATCATAAGTCGTGTGCCATGTGACAACATTGTTGTTATTCAAGTATGTATATGTATTTACTTTTTTAATTTTGTTGTCTTATTGGTATATAGAGGGCAATTTAAGTTTTGGTTCGTTAATTGTTGTATATCAATAAGTTAATAATAATATTCGTTAATGTTTAACTCTGGTTCAACTGTTTTAAAAGCTGTTTAGATTTTATTTAATTTTATAGGGAAAAACTTAATTCAAGTGTACCTTTCATAATACTGTCATTTAAATTCCGGAAGGATTTTTCAAAGGATCGCCTTTGAAAATCAAATTTGACAGTACATCTATAGTTCTTTTGTTTATTTGTAGTTATTTTGGTCACTTATTTTTTCAGGATGATTTAAAGTTATAATTGTTAAATTTTTAATTTATTTTTAGAATTATTATTTATTTACAAATTTAAGTTTATTTTTGCTGAAAAGTTGAGGTATTCGGGTTAAACGTATCGAAATTTTAATAAATTTACATTTGATTAAAAGGATATTTGCTTCCTACATACCTGTATGACGGATTATATATTCATGGATTAAATATATAATAGATTAATTTTGGATTTTGTATATTTGAACAACTTCTATTAACTGTTTTATATTTTCTTACAGTCACATGTTTACTAAGAACAATTGGAAACCTTGTTCCTCAGTTTTCATAGAGGTAAACATAAACGTATTTGCATAAGAACACATGATGCATAAATGAATGAAAACATATTGACATTACTTATATAAAAGCATTTTTACCAAGCATGTGCCAGGAATGATTTCATGCTCGTTTTAGTTGAAAAAAAAGTCTATTTTGCCTTTGAAGTGGATTTACCAATACTATGAATAAAAAAGAATGATATATTTTCTTATTTTTTCACGAGACAAAACACTTTGCATTTTTGGAAACCATTTAATATATTGTTATAATTGTATATGAAGAGGGGTTTTCTTGCCTGCTAGCCTGAAATATCGCAAATGTGTGTTTTTTTTTTTTTGGAATTTTTCACTTAATTTATTTTTTAAAGTTACTATGGATGTGAGACATTTTCAATAAGAATTAATTCAAAGAAGTTGAATTGTTGATAGATGAAGTTTATGGTGTACGATGAAGGATGCGATTCTTATATTTTCTTCTTTCCTTTTTGGTTATTTTAATGAATTTTTTTTTACTCTTTTTAATTTATTTTCAGTATTTTTCTTTTAAATTTGTTTTTTATTTCTTGTATTTTTTTAGCAAAAATTTTCATTCATAAATTTTTGAAGTATGCAGCATTTCGTCTTTTAAAAAAAAAGGCGTGTGTATTAATAGCAGCTTTTAACATGTAAGTATACATACAATACATATTAAACACATTATTAAAATTTGTACAATATATTATGAGCCACTTATTTATTGATGATGTTTACATAATATAAAAGTGATTTATACATATTTATAATATTGTTTGGAAATAATTTACAATTGTGAGTGAAAAATAAAGTAAACTAGAACTATTTCTGATTTTGATATTTTCAAAATTATAACAAATTTTTAAATTGTATGGTATGAACTGGAGAGCATATTATTAAAATTAATTTTTAAAAAAAAATATAATTTTGAATTTATAATAGAATTATATAATAGTTAATCAGTTAATGCTAAAAACAACTTGACTTTTAAAATTTATATTAAAAGTAAGGTTTCTGAAATCAATCTTTTTCCAATTTACTGTTATATTTCTAAGGAATAAATCATTATAAGGGTAATTAGATTGCAATCTTATTTGTAAAAATTGAAATTGGAATTGAATTTAACAACATAGAGAATTTTAGGACAAATCAAAAATTGGTCATCATAAACTATTTTAAATAGCTAATGAATTAAGTGTTTTTCCCGATTTCAAGAAACTTTATGTTATAACTTTACTTTATGTTATGTATATAGCGTTTAGTATTAATAATTTGAAGAAATTTTTAAAGCACCTCGAGTTCGAGTATGATGCTGTAATACAATTTCCATATTCATATCGCAGTTTAAATATAACTAGCACATTAAAAAGTTAAAGCTATAGACATAAATTTTTAGAAGAGATTTACAAACCGTAATTGTGGAACAATATATATATATACACACTATAATGTTGGACTTAACATTAAACTTGAACATATTAAATATGTTTTAATATTACGTATTATAATAAATATTATCGGCATTCTGCTCCAAATTAACTACTTTAACATTCAAATCTATCAAATTAACTATTTTATACAATAATGTTGAATAAAATGAACAAATAAAATTAAGTCCTTCATAATTATATAAATAAATTTTTAATTAAATTTTAAATATCAAATATAATTGTTTGAAATTATAGTTTTTAACTACTTAACTTAAAAATGGTGAAAAATAAGAAAAAAAATTACAAATTCTAAAGACGCTTCCAAAGACGCTACATAATTGTGTAAACTTTTTATAATTGTAAAAAATTTCATTCATATTTTATTCTTGTTACAAAAAGAAAGACGCTTAAATAACAATTTGATAGTTTTTACCACTTTTACAAATTCTCAGATGTGTGATAAATTCTCTCTGATATAACTAGTTCTTCGAATACCTTTATATTTTATTTAATTAATAATTGTATTACAATTCAAGGTCACATACTAACCCAAAGAATCTCACATACATTAAAAAATCTAATATATTATTTTAATGGAAGATAATATAATTATAATATTTTTGCATTTATTTTCCCATACACATTTTCTACGATGATGTACGATTACATTTAATATAGTTGTCATAATACATGCTTTCTCATTGTAAAATTTTCTATATACTCGTACATATATGTAAATAAACAGAAGAATATATTTAGTAGCAGATAAAAATTTTAGAATTTTTCTCAGCTTTCATTTTCCTTTAGAAAAGTTCTTTCAGTTTCCCTTCTTGAGAAAATTATTAATATTATAATTAATTTATCATTAAATTACTATAATAATAAGTTTTTGTTTAACATAATATTAAAACGTTTATAATATAATTTTTAATTCTTGTTTTTTTTTTGCAAACTAATAAAGATAATATTGTATATAAGAGAAATAAAATAAATAATTAAATTCGGCAATGAAATTTATTCAGTATTATAAGTAAATTAAAACCAAAATAAATAGATGCCTACGTGTTTAAAAATTATTAAAATGAGATTCACATGAGGATTTTCCAAGTTCAAGACTTTGTTGATTAAGTAATTAGAAAAAATAATTTTCACTTAAGATTTATTTTCATTTTATTTTATTACAATGAAGTTATAAGTAGTTAAGTTTAAAAAAAATAATAAGAACATTACAATTAAAATAATCTTAACAATTTATAAGAGAAAAAACTTATATAAATTTTCTTTTACTGAAAGGGAAGAGTAAAAAATTTATTATGGGGAAATTTTATATTTTTTTACTGGCGGCTATGTCTGGGGTAAAATTTTTTTTTCAAATTGAAAACAAGGTGTGGTAATTTGTCGTTGGCACTTGAAATTTTATAAGTCAAATATATAGCACAATAAATGTAAATATTAAATGGTTTTAGAGTAATCTTGTAAATTTGAGCCCATTACTTGGTTTCATCTTTATAGGCTAACTCTGTAATCATTTGTATATTCAATATCATTGCATATTAGGGCTTTCATTCTAAATTATTAATCATTGTTATTATCATTAAAAATATTTCGTACTGTACTACAAAAATTTTCTGCATTAATGGAAACTCTATATAGTAATTGACATGAAAACTGTTGTAATTTTTTGAAATAAGTAATTCTGAGTACACAAAAAAATATAGAAAATTATTTTACAAGTCCATTTTGGTTTGTAGTACAGATTTGTCTACTTTACCAATTAGTGCTTTTAAACAGTTTTTAAACCTAACTCTTAATTTCGATACTGACCACTTCAGATTTAAATGCTCATATTATTTCAGGTCATTTGTACTATAATTTTTTCCTTTAATTGCAAAATTAATTAAAAAACTACAATTTAAAGAAGTGAAAAAGTAACATCACTAACAATTTCCTTTAAAAATTATTTATATTTTAAAAATTTCCAAAATTATTTTATCAAATGTACTAAGCACAGACATAGAGATTAACTTTAAAAATTTAAAGTATGCAATATTTTTTTATTAATCTAGAATCCTTTGTTATAAATCAAATAAATTTTTCCTTCCTTTTAATTAGATATTTTATATGCATGTGTATGTAAGAAACCATATTCCATAATATGAAATCATATTCGTAAGTAATTCCAATGGTCATTAAATTTATTATAAATTCGTATAATATACTTATGTGAGTGTTAAAAGAAAGAAAGAAAAATAATCGTAAAATATAGAAATTAAAATCAAAATTATATAAAAAAAAATTTACCTGTGCATGTTGAAATAATTAAATGAAAAATAATTAAAAATTGTAATCCAGAAAACCATTTGTTGAAGATTATACTAGGTGATTTAAAAGTTTTAATATTAATGTTGTCGGCATTAATGATTGCCTTTGATAATTTTGTTGTATTAACCACCATTGTTTTAATATTTTTCAGTTTTTGTTCTGCTGATTGAGTTCAAATCCAAGTTTTCGTTAGTAGTATATGTTGTCGTGTTTAAAAAGCATTATATAAGCAATCGTTAAATATAAAATTTTTTTGAATAAAATTGAATTAAAAAATCCAATTTTCTTCTTTTATTTTTTTCTTCGTTTTGCACGTCACAGGTTTTTTATTCTTCTTTTTGCTTAAAAGCAGTAATCTGCTTTTTTTTTCATTAATAAATTTTATTTAATTTTTTTTTTTTGTATTTTAATATAGATCACTTTGCCAATTAGTAACTTCTTTTATATTATATTTTTCTATTTTGTTTTAAGATAAATTGAAATTTAATTTATTAATATTATTAGAATAAATGATTAAATGCATTTTGTGAGGGTTTTTTAGAGCATTTAAAAAAGAAAATTTTTCGCATTTCTTTTACTTTTGAATTTTTAATTTTAATTTTATTATTTATATAAATTAATTAAGTTATCATCGCTTTTATCTAAATGTTACAAAAATTTTTTAAAGAAAATCATAGTTAATTAAAAAGGATTCAAATTTATATATTTAAAACTGATAGCATGTACCTACTACAGAATATGAAAAATAAAATGTAATTTTTTTTTCTACAACTTGAATTATAATGACACTTGCCCCACTATATGTACCTACTAACGTTAAAAACTGCATGCAAACAGTAATACTTAATATTAGGCTTCTAGTTTAAAACTAAATGAAATATTCACAGTTTTGTTCGGTTTAGAAGAAAAATTTGAAGAATATTTCCATAAATTACCAATTTCCTGTCGAAAAAATTTTAAGTTACAGTCTCCTATATTAAAATTTTATTTAAAAAATTCTTTTTTAGGTCTCAACTTCCAAACAATTGAAATTTATTATAGATTTTAATATTTTAGCAAACTTTAGTCAAAACAAGAAATTTTTAACGATTTTGAAGTCTAAATTTTGATATTTAATAATTTTATTGAAATGTGAAATTATTAAATTTCAAAAAGCCCACAAATAACATGAGAGCGTGTTATTTCATATACCCTAAATACCATTAATTTTTATATAAATACTAAATAGCTTTTATACCAAAATTTTATTTTACAATAAACATTTTTAAAAAATCTTTAAACTTGAATGCTTTCGAATAATTTTTTCATTTGTAAATTCTATTTTAAAATTTTTATTTTTAAAATTTTTTTGCTTTGTACACAATTTTTTAAATTTTTCCTCCTTTTTTTTAAATTTTCAGATTAATACGACAAAGTCCTCTCTAAAGAGATGAAAACTCTTCGAATTCCTTCTTTTTGTATCCTTTAAAATATTCAAAACAAAAAAAAATAAATACCGTATAACTCACTTAATAATATCGTAAAAAAAACAAATTTTATCCGTTATATCTTTTAACACTTATTACCGTTATTCTTTTCTCTTCTTCTAAAATATTCCACACATCACAAATTTATATATTATATCCTTTACTCCTTATTTTTTTATTGTTTTTTATTAAAATCTGCACTTTTTCTTTAAACTTTAATTATTCTCAAATTTCATAAATTTATTAAAATTTTCGCTCCCCTTTTAATTTAGCAAATAAAAAAAAATATTTTTCTATTACAATAATAAATTTATAATTAAAATGTTTACATTTTCTTTTTTTTTGTTCTTTTTAAATAAAATTATTAAAGTTCCGATTCTCACGACCGATGGCATTGAATGTCGAAATACGACTGAAAAAAATAAATACTTCCTTTCAATTCAGTTCCTTTTTGACTGTAAACAATCATAACATAAGAAAAAATAACAAAACAAAAACAAAATATCAAAACAATTTTAACAGAGAATTCAGCAGAAGAAAATTTCTTTTAAAAAGAAAATTTTTTTTAGTAAAATCATTATATGCTTTTATCATTCAGCAATTTCATAATACAGTAGGAATGTCTATTACTTCTTAGTTGTGTTGTATATTGTACGAGTTGAGATCAAAATAAAACATGCAAAATGTGGTGAATTTTATATTTTAATCACAATTATTATCGCACAAACTGGTGCATGTATTATAATTTTTTGCCCTACCAATCTACCATATCGAATCTACTCTCTATCTCTAACTAAACTAAAGCATATGAGACAGTAAATTCTTATGAGAAATAATTAAAATTTCAACATACTTTCCATATGTAATCATTTAGTATGTATTGAAATGTTTAGCTGATAACATTTATGTTATTATTGTATTACAATATTGTAGATATAATTTTATAGCATGACATAAAATTTATCACTGTCTTATATTTTGATTGTCGCTGTTTGTTTATGATTATGAAAGTTAGTTTGCTATTATTTTAAGTAGTCAAACATGTTGAATATATTATGTAAACAAAAAAAAGTATATGCAAAGTACATATGTACATATTTTGATTTTATATACCTATGTATATATAAAATTTCTTTCTTTCTTTCTTTTTTTTTTTTGAATGAGGAACAATTAATTTTAATGGTTGAAAGTACGGTACAAAAAAAAATTAAATGATGCGTGATTACTATCTTTTGAGTTCTTTGAGTGAAGGTCAAAATAATATACAAATAATATCATCTGTTTATAGTACATATGTATAAGCTATATTAATATTGTATGTGCGATAAGAACTTCCTGAATTTTGAATAATTTAATTATTTAGTTTTTTGATAGTGTTGTTATCAAGTTGAGTTTTAAAATTTAAATATTATAATGATTTGTTTAAGATACTAAAGAAATACATTGTTAAATAAATATATTGATGTTTATATATGTAATTTGTTTTTAATTACTTTCTATAGTAAATCTTGCGATTATCTAAGCTGCAAGGAGTGATATGCGACAAAATATGTAAATATTAGTGCATATAATATATGAGAAAGTAAATTTTTTCTTTTAGAGGAAACCGACACATTAATTTTTTCTCTTATAACAATAAATATTGTGGTGTTTTTAGCCCAGAACAATATTCAGATCTCCAAAATATATTTTGTTAAATTCTTAGAACCGCGAAAATTTCATGAAACATATAAAACATATAAAATCAAAGCTCGGCACATAAAATCGGTTCTAAGACTGATTTTGCTCTGTTTACCTTTTGTGTTTAAGGAAATTATATTTTCTCATATTTCCTAGATTGAACAGTTGAATCTATATATCATATTGTATAATCATACTTGTATTAATCATAAATTTCTTCCAGTATACATATACTCTAAATTTTTTATTATTTGATCGAGTTCCTGAATTATTTTAAATTTTATTAAAATTTTATTAAAATCATGCCTACAATTTTAATTATTTTAAATGAAAAATTTTTCAGAATTTCTGATAGTATAACAGTGTTTGAAGGTACTTAAAATTTCAAAATATGCACATCCAAAAAAACTTGCTTGTCATGTACATTTACGGCAGTAGAAATTACATAGTTACAATATTACGTATTTGATTATCTCTGTCATTTGATGTCAAATTGCCCTCCATATCTAAAATAATAATGGAAATAAGTAAAATAAATTATATAAATAAATTAATTTCTTTCATATATTTGAAATTTATGTTTCTACAATAAAATACTACCAAATCAAAATGGAAAATAATTACTATGTGTGATACTACTTTTATTTACTCTGCTTAGACACATTCATAAGCAATATATCACAATGAAATGCATGTAATTAGAGGCAAGCACAAATAATTTTTATACAATTTGTAGAAATTTTTTTTTTCTTTTCAAATCACTTTTACTATTTTTTGCCAGAAAATTTTTATTGCAATAATATCAAAAAAAAATAAATTTTATTAAGCTTCTTATAACTGCAATTTTTCTTCTTATTTAATAATTTACTACGATAATATCCAATTTATTTAACGAATATGACGTTTCAATAGTTATACGATTTTTCGAATGAACAGTTTCTTAAAAAGCCAATAAAATTTTATTTATTAAAATACTGGAATCATTTTCAGCTTAAGCAATTCTTTTTTTGAGCAATAAAATAGGCACAACTTTTTGCAATAGATAGTAAAAGTATTTATATATATAGAAACATATTTCACCTGTAATCGTTACCTGTAACAATTAGCATAATATTTGATGATAAAAAATAAAAAAAAAACTCAATAAAATAGGCAGATCTGCGCTTAGAGTAAAACAAGAAAAAAAAAATTTTTAATGTTTTGTTTAAGGCATAACTAGTATTGTTTTTGCTTTTCTTATTTTGTTTTTAAATTTTCCGAATAGCGCGCGCGATTATGGAAAATCATATATATAGAGATAAAATAGTGAAAAATTGCGAAAGTAGGTCAAATGACGTTCATTTAACCTTTTTGTAATATTAAAATTCATTACAATAAAAACGTAATTTATATTTTGCCATGGGTGGTCATAAATCTTTCGAAGTTTTAGTTTTTTTTTGTATATAAGGGGTTATCGCATTGTATATAAGATTAACATGAAATTTTGTTAGTTTGTTATTGTGTGTGGAACTTTTATTCTTTTGATATTTTGGCCTTTGTAGATAGAAAATAATTGTTAAGACTTTTATTTTTGTGTTTTTAATTTTCGCTAAAATCTAAAATATATATGTATAAATGCATATATATAGGCATTTGAAAGTTGCGTTATAATAATACGACTGTTTATACGAGTATTGTCGATTATTTCATATAATATTAAAAATTATTGATAGTTAATGTGAAATTAAATTGATTGCATTATGACAATCATTATATTATTAAACCGTTATTGAACAGGTGTTAAAGTAATATTTCTTTAACATTTTATTTTACAGCAGGATATTGTCACCAAATTCGTTAATAGGGCTTTATGGTATTAATTATTTCAATAATAATGCAAATATTACATAGAATGTTATTTAAAATTCTTATTTAATTTTCAATTTTTGATCTATTTATTTCAATTAATGATTAAAATAATGTCTTAAAATTGACATAATCTGAAACTTTTCACTAAGAAAGTTTTTATCAACTAAATAATAGTAAAATATTAAAATATTTTAACAAAGCTTGTATTAACTTTTACTTTTAATAGAAAAAGCACTTAAAATGAAGTTGATGTTTGATAGATCTAAAACTGTATTAAAATTCCTATGAATTTTTCATATTATACTCGTACACCCCTATACGAATACTGTTTTATTATTTACTTAAAAAAAATAATCTCTCAGAATAGAATAAGAGGATCAAAAAGCCTTTTAACTAAACTAGGAGTAACTGGACTATTTAACAATATTCTTCTTGAATCTTATTTATAATTCATACTCCTGTTCTATATAAGGACTGTTTCTTGACCATTGACGGAATATCTCCGATGAGGTCATAAAAAGCCAAAAGACAAAAAGGCTTATTTAAATAATCATACTATTGTTTTATGATAATTATTGTGACGGTAATCTCTTTTGATAATGATACGAAGTAGTGGTCTCGTATACCATTATACAAAGATTTATTGACATGGAAGTAATTTTTAACTTGCATAATGATTTTTAACTACTTTAATAATGCATTTTAAAGTTTTAATTACAATATTTTTTTATTTTTCATTAAATATTTTATTAAATAAAATATTACCAAACTAAATTTTTACTACATACACATACATACTCGTATATGTATGTATGTAAAAATTTAATCTTTTATATTTTTAAGAAAATTCCCAAAAATTTTGAAAAAAAATAAATTTTGATTATATAAAATTTTCCGTCCTCCTTTACTGTTTATTTACAAATGTTATGTCAAACAAAATTTCCGATTGTTTTTCAAGATTTTTTTTTCATAATCTTTTTTTTAATTTTTTTTTCATAATTTTTTTTTCATATTACAGCACCGATAAAAGTTATATTTTCAGATTCAAAAGATAGCAAAAATATTTTATTTTTCTGCAAACCAAGAGCTTGTATTCACTCTTCCGAATGATTTTGTTTTAAAATTTGTGACACAACAATACTTTCAAAAATCAGTTTCAGATTTCTCCTGAAAATATGCAAAATTATTTATAGTGGTAGTAAGACAATTATAGTAACATATCACTTAAAATTATATAAATGCATGTTTATATATAAGTTCTAGAATTGAATTGTTAGAGGATGGAATGACATTATTTTACAAGTCATACGTCTAACTAATAGACTAAATTTTTAATAAAGTAAAATTATTATAAAAATTTTATAAAAGTTTCGGTCGCTCATTTATTTTTTTCTTTTTAATATATTCTTCATTACTCATTTACTTGCTCCTTCAACTCTAATTGTCATGAATTTTTCTTATCAAATAACAAATGGAATTAAAAACCTAAATAATAAGGATGATGCGATATATACTCATGTTATATGTCATGTTTTTGTAGTTAAATTAAAAAAAAAAACGGAAAACAAGCAATACTTAAAACAAAGGACTTTCTAAAGTAGATCCAGGAAATAAAATTTTCATATTTAACATTCCTTTTTTCAAAATTCTAACATTAAAAAAAAAATTCACATTTTATGTGAATTTTTTCCAAGTTTTAATATGAAAGAAAGAAAAAAATTATAATTTTCTTTATTCGTAAGGAGCATAATATTCCTTTGAATATACGATTGGCCTTGATATCCGCTCATGCATACATTTTTAAAAGCTTAGATTATGACATCATGACAGAATTTATGCTGTTGCTATGTTGTAATAAT